TGTTAACCCATGATAATCTATTCGAGAATTGCTGTCAAAAATCGTCGTAACTTGAATCGCTTAGGAGAACATTGTGAACTGGTTATGATCAACATACATTTACATAGCGAGCACCTGCTACCTGTATTTCGTAACCAGTACTCGTAACAATATGAATTTTAGTAGGTACTATAATTTACAGGTCAGTGGTTGTCAAAGAACTTGGCTGTTAGCGATTACTTAAAAGTTTTTTTTTAACATGGACCTGCACTAAAATTCTTTCATTGTGGAATTGTTGGAGCATCTGCCTATTCAATCAAATCGTGCGATAATGGCCAAACGGCAACCCATCGCATAAATGGGATGCCGTCTCCACCTTTTGCGAAACATTAATGGTAGCTAAGGAGGAGGCAGGACGTGTGACCTCACGTTGCAAAGGATACTCCGGGCGTCGGGTTTCGTGAGACGAGCTCCAGCCACCACAAGCACGGGCCTGCAGACGGCGAGCATACCTGGCCGCCTGACTAGAACTAGACCTGAGCGTCCAGTTCCGCGCGCGCTTCATAGAGCCATCAGACCACTATGGATTCCCTCCTTAAAAAAAATAAAAAATAAAAGACCACTATGGATGGGGCCAAACAGGACTGATGCCGATACGGAGCCGCTGAGAACGTAAAAGGGGCTCTGGTTCGAAGTGTTAGAGTAGAAAGGGGGTGGTTTTTAGTCAGTAAGAGTCTGACACTCCCTCCTGCCCCACATAGGCGGGAGAATCCATTAAATAATTTTCCCCAAAAAAAAAGAATCATATACATATAAAAACGTCTCCCAATGCGTTGAGCAGTTAGGAATTATCTCTTTCACTATATCTCCATGCATAACTATTGTGAGACATACTAAATTAAGGCGAATTGTTCGTCAAATAATTATGTGAGTTATCCTTTCTGCCTTTATGCACACTCGTCGCTTGAGGTTCACTTTTGCAAAGAAACAATTTCACAATGAACCTTTAACAATATTATCTCCAGCAGCATGGAGATCAGCAAGCGTAAGCATTTTTTTTAAGGGGCAAGCCCGCCACAACCTCCCAGAACCGCTGCAACTCCTGTAAGCCAGGATCTACCGTAGATACAACCATGAAAACACCGGAACACTAAAGTCCGGCGCGTCCCAGGGACATGAGTAACTGTCTTTGTTCCCGCAACAAAGTGAATCAGAAAAAAACTATAGTTTCCATTTCCCTCGGTGAATTACTGCAGGAGACGGAATGAATTAAGCCTAAAGGCACGAAGAAGAGACTGTACAACTGGGTGAAGCCCAGGCGCCAAGCACCACGGAAATTTGGCTAAAAACTAAGTGTGAGTCCTATGTGTGAGTTGATATAATAAGCGTAAGCATATTGAAAATCACCATTAAGGTTCATATGAGAAAATGTTACTGCCCCATCTCTCTACCTCTTTGTGGTCAAATGTGTAGGTCCCTTAGTCTTATCTTACATCATCACCATCATCAACAGCCTATAAAATGCCGACTGCTGAATAAAACCTCTTCTTACACGAAGGTTTGAGCGATAACTAACTTATAATTAGAAATTATAAGCCCAGGTTTCCTCACGATGTTTGCATTCATCGTTTGTCAGTGGTGTCTAGATAACCTTAGAAAGTACATATAACTCGGAAAAAGTCACATTGGTATTTGCCGTTGGTAGGTTTCGTACACCCTCATGCATGAGAAGCGGGCGTCTTAAACCTCCGGGCCACCACGGCTATTGACGCATCTCTCGATACTCGTGAAACGAAAAGGGAAAGTGACGAATTAATTATATTCTATTATAATTGCACGGCTTTAAAGCATTGTAAAAATAGTTATACGATTGAGAAACGTTGTCATAGGGCACTGTTTCTTTGTTCAGATAAGAATTGTCGATACTGAACAGTACTTTAGTTTGTAATCAACTTTACTACCCGACGGAAACTTGGAAACGTACGCTTTATACCTAGGACATACCGACAGGAAATTATCAGTAATTTAGCAAGTGACAAAAAGTGAGAAATATACCTTTTGAAAGGAAAAGGAAAGAAAGGAAGGGAGTTAGAGAAAGAGAGTGGGAAATAAGGACACGCCTATTTTGGAATCGCGGTATTTTTTTTTTAACGCAATACACGTACACACAGCCACACATCAATCTATACAAAACCAGTTTATCCTGGTGTCGCGTCGCATTATCTTTCCGCACATTTAACGTTCAGTTTATACTGGTTATGTAAAGCACGATGTGTAGCCGTGTCTACGTTACTCGAAATTGTTGTTTTGGTAAAATTCGTTGAAAGCATGTGAGTTATGTTGTTTATTACTAACTAGCTGTTGCCTGCGACTTCGTCCGTTTAGGATATGATTCCTGTTTTATCTCATGGGAGCATTTAAGCGCAATAAAATGTCCTATCACCTAAGACAGCCCATACCCTGCCTGTATACCAAATTTCATCAAAATCCATTCATTAGTTTCAGCGTGATTAACGGACAAACATCCAATATTTAATATTTTTAATAAATGTGTGATACTTTTGTAATATGATATTATACAGCACGGAATCTAGAATTGTGCCCGGTATATGGCAATAGGCTCACCCCCTATTACATGGGACTCATAACATGAATAGTGAAAAGTGGGTGGTACATTGTACAGTGGCATTAAGTGCCGTAATGTGCACCTCTGCAATCCCCTTGGGGATAAAAGGCGTGATATTATGTGTTATATCACCATGCTTCTCTTCCATTAACTGATCATTCTCCAATATCAACTCACTCCATTATAGACCTTATTTCCGATGTTTAGAAATTACTTTTGTATGAACAAATTTTGGGGATTTATATCAGATGATTGTGTACGAGACAATTCTAGAATACCTCTTTCACTTCGCTAATGACTAAAACTAGTCGACGCCAAAAATCATCAAATAAAATTAATTAAACCTTACATTTCAGTACACGAAATCAAAACCAACCCACGAAAAGAATGATGCATTAAAATCATTTGGACAGAACTTTAAAACAATGTGGCATATACTGTGGATACCAGTCCTAGTACCAACTATGATAATAAGATCTAACTGCGACAATAACAGAACACATTCCGATGTATACGTTCAATATTCCGGCCACGCCGAAGCAGATGAAGCCGATCTACCAGAAACAATACCATATACAACGAAAAAAACAACTACAACTACAGCACCCACAACGAAACCCACAACTACAGCTAAAACAATCGTTTTAACGGTTACAACTCCTAACATAACAGTTAAAACATCAGTTGAAACTACAGCTCCGACAACGGAAACTACAACTACAACGACAACCATAAGACCAGTTACAACAACTACAGTTAAAATGAGCGAGGAACAGACAGATGCTGTTATCTTTTTACCTGATGTCAGGACTGGGAGACGAGATGACGGATATATAGATGGTATACACATCAAAGATTTACAAATGAAGCCACTGCTCGAAGTAATGAACAATAAGTTTCATGAGGAAAAGTTGGTAGGTACGTATCACTTACACCGGAATTATCGTCATTGCCTGTTTTAAGCTGCGTTTCCACTGACGTGGAGCGGAGCAGAGCTGAGAAGAGCTGTGCCACGATTCACCAATCAGCTACATCAAATTCAGCGGAGTGGAGAAGAGATGTGAATTTCAAACCATGTGATTGGTGAATCGCGGCACAGCTCCTCTCCGCTATGCTCCGCTCCGCCTCAATGGAACTGCACCCTTAGGCTGCGTTTCCATTGACGCGGAGCGGGGCGGAGAGGAGCTTAGTGGTGCACGAATTGACCAATCACAATGGTCAAAATCTCTGCTTCGCTTTAATGGACGAGCGCATGAGCGGGGTGAAGCAAAGATGACCGGATATTCATAATAAAAATATAGCGGGCCAGTACTGTGCGGAGGACAGCGAGGGTAACAGTTAATACTACGGTATCTGATTCGTTTTGATTATGATTGCTTTTTCTCTTTTTAAACGAAGTCGAAGTCAAAGTCAAAGTCAAAGTCAAAGCATTTATTTCAATTAAACAATAATTTGGTACTTTTGAAACGTAAACAAATACAAAATTTTATGATAGTGTGAATTGTTAATTTTCCCAAATAAATTAAATAAAATAAATAGTAGTCTGTCAGTCCGAGGGAGAAGAACGAGGAAGCAACTCCATTCGTTACTCTTTAAAAAAAAAGTATGTTCTACAATGTCTCTGATACATATTCTAATACTGTACGCATATGTGAGAACAATGCAAAGACAAGCTTGAGATATTAAAAAAAATACAAAACACTAAAATAAAAACAAACAAAAAAAATCTTATAGTCTTACATGGTGCTCACATATGCATACTGACAATCCATAGAAATAGTGCTTCTATACAAGAAAAAGGAAACTCTTTGGTTCAATAAAGAAAAAAATTGCTGATGCCACAAGGAAACTAGATTGTCTACATTAGAATGAAAGTATTAAATGTGATCAGTATGTCGCTCGAGGAGGTAGTGCTATGTATTCTCGTTAGATCAAACTTCTTCTTTCTACTCAAAGTTCTTACTACTCAAAGTCCGTCCAGCGACTGTCGCAAAACATCGACTAGCGACTAGTTGCGCGACCCGTAAATGTCGATGCGTCATCGCGCGGGACATGCGAATTTCGTGTGCAGCGAAAGAGTCGCAGAACAAAATATGTCCCCTATTGAAAATGCGGTTTAAACTCTAACACGTTCTTTCTCATGTTTCGAGCCGTTATTGGCTGCGAACGATTAACGGTCATAATCGCCCCGATTTGCAAGCAACTTCCCTGGCTCTTGCAGCAGTAGAAACGTGATAGTTTTTAGTCAGTAAGAGTCTGACACTCTCTCTTGTCTCCCCCAAGGCAAGAGAAGTCATTTGATGATTTTCGCCCCTCAAATCAAGACAGATCACCTGATGGTAAGCAATCGGCGCCGCCAATGGACACTTAGAACACCAGAGGCGTTACAAGAGTGTTACCAGCCTTTTGGGGATTAGAAATTTCAGGATTCAGGGATTGGGGAAGGGCCTCCGGTAACCTCACTCACACGACGAAACACAACGCAAGCGTTGCTTCACGTCGGTTTTCAACTCGTCTGTGGTACCACTCCGATCGAGCCGGCCCTTTCGTGCCGAAGCATGGCATATTTATGTTCCTTTCTGATTTTAGATGATCATAAAGATGGTATAGTGTTTGTAGCTGGCAAAAACGGTGAAATCGACACAGACAAGAAACAAGATACAAACGCAAACTATAATTCTAATCAGGTTTGTTAAAATATTTGTCTACTAGCTGTTACCCATAATTATATCATATTTTGGCAATACGCCTTAAAAATTACACTATTTAAGGCGTATTGCCAAAATATGTACACGGGTGGTCTATGGGTCAACCATACCAAAAAATCGCTAGATGTCCTGCGCGTCCAGTACAATAACGCTTTCAGGATGTTGTTGAGATTGCCCCCCTATTGCAGTGCTTCGGAGATGTTCGCGAAAGCTCGTACTGACGGATTTCACGCAATACTGCGGAAAAAAACAGCGTCACTATTAAGAAGGTTGAGAGATAGTCAAAACAGCATCCTGAGCACCGTAGCTGAGAGTATACACTCTCCAATAATTAAAAGATGTGTACAAAGGGTGATTGGTACTAACAATAGTTTGTAAGTTTTCTATGTAATACTAACATTCGATGGACTTTGTCTGAAATAAATGCCTTATTATTATTATTATTATTATAATAGGCGTGTCGACAGGGTAAAAAAATCAAAAAAGTAATTAGTCCGTCATTGAGATCGCACGAAAATATCAGACACGTATTTTTTGTTTTATCAAATTAACAGAAGAATACGTAGTTATTCCGCATTAAAGTTAGGGAGTGGGGGGTGTTGACGTCACACTTACGGAGAAATCGTACCTAATTGTGACGTCACGCGTCATTTTAACTCAAAATATCTACATGTTTTTTTGGATACGAGAAAAAAGAAAAAATACGTATCGAAGATTTTTAAAATATCTAAAAGACGAACAAAATATTAAAAATTAGTCGCCATGCCTATTATTCATATTTCTTATTTTATTATTTTCTTATTTCTTATCTTATTTATTTTTAAACTAAAAGAATGATTTCCAAATTTTTGTGTTTTTTTTTATTTTATACATCAAAAGTACTTCATCGGACGGGCACGTGCCATCCAATTAGGAATACCTCTTCGAGAATTACATGGCGTGGTGTTTTGATAATGTACTATGAGTTCGTACGCGCTTTCGAAGTGTGCTTGTTGCAATGGTTCATCAGTTATTTTTTGTTTTAAACATTTATTTCTTTGTAAAACTATTGTACCACCAAAACAGACCTATTTTACATCGGGACGAAAACGAAATAGATTTTACGGTGTACTTTATGGTCATTGAGATTAAGAGTGTGTACCAAATATCAAATCGATCTGTCGTCAGGAAGGGGGTGAAATTGGGTAGTTTCCAGGGTATCAAAATTAAAAATCTAATTATTCCGTCAGTTAGATATTAAAAAAATATTAGACACGTATTTTTTTATTTTCTCGTATTAAGTTGCAATACTTAGATAAAATGGCGCTAAGTTTAGGAGTGGGAGGTCGTTACGTCATAACGTGCTACAAAATATGGCACGCTGTGACGTTACAAGATATTTCAGATTAGTATATCGTCGAAAGTATTTAATTTTGTGAGAAAAGAAAAAATACGTGTCTAATGTTTTAAATTAATGTACCAGACGGACATTAATATAAAATTTAGGAAACTACCCTATTCCAATGACCTAAAGATCAAAATAAAACATTATTTATATTATTTTCCAGGTTGACGATTATGAAGACTCAAATACGAAAGCCCCCCCAAAACCTAGGTTGAATTGCAATAATCTAGATTGCAGTAACATAATACACTCCATATGCGGAGGTAAAATAGTAAATCGACAGTGGAAATATCGTCTATTCCTAAACGAGTGTTATTTTAGGAAAGTTAACTGTGGGTACAAGTATGAAATCAATCGTAAGTACTTCTTTTTCATTTAGTTCCATATATTTATTTAAAATTCCCTACAAAATATATTTCTAAATACTATGTACAAAATAAATAAACATAACATGACATAACATCACGCCATTTTATCCCCGCAGGGGTGCACATTACGGCACGTAATGCCACTGTACAATGTAACACCCATTTTTCACTATTTATGTTATAAGTCCCATGTAATAGGGGGTGAGCCTATTGCCATATACCGGGCACAATTCCAGACTCGGTGCTACTACTGACATTTAAAAAAAATCCTAGTAATACTTTGCTCGACCTGGGAATCGAACCCAAGACTCCTTGCACGGCAGTCGCACTTGCGATCACTCGGCCAACGAGGCAGTCATAATAAAAAAACATATTTAAAAATATAATAATAACAAACAAAAAGTCAAAACGAAAAAGCAAAAAATAACTATTGTTAGTACTGATAGGTTACCCACCCACTGATAGGTAAGAAGTCGGTGCCATAAGTTCCACACAAAATTATTCATTAAAACCTTAATAGGTATCTAATTCACAGTTTTGTGGACATTAAGTTATATCATTATGATATGAGCTTATGGCACCGACTTCTAACCTATCAGTGGGTGGGTAACTTATCAGGACCATCTCGGGAGTATACCCTTTCAAACAAAACAAGAATTTTGGAAATCGGTTCATAAATGGCGGAGTACTGCGCGAACAAACAAAAAAAAAAACAATCAGCCGAACATAGTACCTCCTCCTTTTTTTGAAGTCGGTAAATAATAGGAGTCGACCAGTAGCGGGAGCATGGTCCAAGCTACCAGTGGTTAGGGCTCCAGAGACAGAAACCTCCCGATACGTGCCGTTTCTAGGCCCTTGATCATATGTATAGATATTGACAATGATTATTATATTTCAGGATACACAAGACTTCCACTAGACAAATGCAAGACAACAGGAACCCACCAAGTGGAACGACCCTTCTCTTACACACCTAAAATATACAATTTCGAAAAGGCTGAAACGAAACCTTCTCGTAGAGGATACGCTTCAAGAAGGTACGAATTTTATTTTCTTCATGATATAGGCCGGTAAACGAGCAGACGGATCACCTGATGGTAAGCAATTGGTGCCGTTCATGGACACTTGAAACACCAGAAGTGTTACAAGTGCGTTACCGGCCTTTTGGGGTTTAGGAATTTGAGGATTGTTGAGAATTGGAAAGGGAGGTAATTGAGCCTCCGGTAACCTCACACTCACAACTAAAGAACTGTTCAAAACGGCAGAAGATGTATGTTCTAGAAGTCGACGCGACCATCACAGACTAGTACTAGAGGAGTTTCCTAAGTTAACAAATAATAATATAATAAAAGCTGCCTAAGTATGTGTGTCCGAATATTTAATAAATTACCGATAACATTAAAAACACTTAACCTCAGACTATTTAAAATTAAATTATATGTATGGTTGAATGAAAATAATTTTTATAGCATTAAGGAATTTTTTGAACATAAATGAGTAATAATATATAACAACTACGAGTGTAAGTTAGTTAAAATAAGTTTTTTAGTTATTTGCATGCTTTATTTATTAAGCAAAACATGATGATCTATTATATTGTAACTATAACATCTTTGTATACCATGATTTTACGCAAAGAAATGTCTTTATCTTAACACAATGTAAGTTTTTATGGCATAAGCCGGTAAACGAGCAGACGGATCACCTGATGGTAAGCAATTGGCGCCGTACATGGACACACCAGAGGCGTTACAAGTGCTTTACCAGCCTTTTGGGAATTGTTGAGACTTGAGGAGGGTAATTAAGCCTCCGGTAACCTCACTCACACAACGAAATTCTACTCAAGTGTTGTTTCACGTCGGTATTCTGCTCGGCCGTGGTATCACTCCGATCGAGCCGGTCCATTCGTGCCGAAGCATGGCTCTCCCACACTTAAAAACTAAAAACTTATGAGTTTTCTCCTTTAAACTGTCAAACACCAAGCGGACACCGGTGACCGCAACCTATTGTTCTATAATTGTCGCGGAGATCCTAACGGGTAACCGGGGCTCCGGCTCGACGTGCAGGAGAAGGAACGGGGTGGTTTTTAGTCAGTAAGAGTCTGACACTCCCTCCCGCCTCACCCAGGCGGGAGCAGTCATTCGATGATTTTCCCCCCTTAAAAAAAAAAAAAAA